AACCCGCCAGCTCCCCTGCCATTGTGAATTGCAGCACCGGTGGAGGCGGGAGTAGAATAGGTACTGTTGAAATCCGCACCGTCGGTGCCGGTAGTCTGGGTTGGTGTGGAATGGGCTGTTTGGTATGTACCGCTGGTGCCGAATGTTTAGCCTGAGCCAACAGCCCTGCAGGAAGTAGCATCATGGCGCTCGGTTCTGAGGCTGAGAGTAGTCTTGTCAGTGCCATGGCTGGTGCTGACAACATTTTTATCCGTGTTGACATGGAGCCTTTTTGTTTCAAGTCAGTCGGTGCCTTGGAAGAGGAAGGATAAACCTTCTCCTTGGGGTCTTGGTGCTTATCAGAGCTGGCCCCATTAGCTGCCTGTATTTCCGGTACCTTAGATGTTGTAGGTGCTGTGGCAGTCTTTTTATGGAGAGAGTGCTTTGTCGCAGGAGACTCAGTCCCTGAGGAAAAATGGGACCTCTTTTTGGGCACCTGGACCCTTTCATGGTCTTTTGGGCTCAACCTAGTGGGAAGCCCCTCTCTCCGATGCCACCCGAGCGAATGGCTGCCTGGGTGGTGTGCTATGCTCAGGGTTTGAGGCAAGACGATCAGTCGACTCCAGTTGCACCATTTTTAGCTGGAGTTCTCTGGCCTTTCCCGTTCTTGTTGTGAGTTTCCTGCAATGAGGGCACTGCTCTGTAGAGTGCTCCCCTCCCAAACAGCAGACACACTCAAATTGTCCATCTGATATGGGAATGGGTAGCCTGCAGCTCATACACGGCTTAAATGCTGACAAACCAGGCACGGCCCAATAAAAGAACAATTTAGGGCAGTTTCTGTCAAGTGGCACCACAATGGTTAAGTATATATCCTGAATCTAATTATAACAGGAAAATCCAGAGACATTTTTTTAACTCTCTATAAAAACCTAACAACAGTAATAATAAAGTTAACTAATAACTCTAAGTAGCTAAGAATGAGGGCAGCTGCTAAGCTGCGACCAAAGCCATCGGTGGTGGAGAAGGAACTGAAGAGATGGTTGGCTGTGCAAGCGGGATAGTTGTTTCAAATGTCACGTGTCGGCATCCCACGTGCAAAGCCGACCATGGGCACTGCTACTTGAAGTCTCCAACTAGAGGTGCAGAGGCACTCAAGCACCTAAGGGGGGGAGCACCCATGGGGACACTCCTCGAAGAAGAACCTCAGTTGATGCAAAAGAATCACTCCTAATATCCAAAATTGAAAGAGTAACTGTATGACCCATATCAGGAATTCCACACAGCAAACAACATCTATAAAATCCCCTCATATTTCCTCATGAGTGCCTAGAATAATTTCTTCTTTTTTTTTTCAACCGTATCTCCAACTTTGTTCAATGGCTTTTCTCATGTTGCGTGTTCAATAATCCTTCTCCACTTTGATGTCAAACATTCAATAGCTATCTGCCTTCGCCCTCCTCCCCGCCTCCAAATTCCCCGCAATGCAACTCCTCTGATTAGCAGAGATTTCACTTCACAAACATCTCGGCTGCTCTGACCGAGCCCGTGTGTGTGTGTCTATGGAATATTTCCCTCCTGCCCATCCGCTACATAGCAATGCCTGCCAGAGCTATGGATTAAATATCAATGCCACTTGCTAATTCAATTTCAGGAGCCTGCTGTTTTGAATACA